TTCTTTCTTTCTTTTCTTTCATTGTTTCTTTCTTTCTTTTCTTTCACTTTTTTTTTTCATTCTTATTTCCATTCTTTTTTTTCTTTCTTTTTATGTCCGTTTTTTCCTTCATAAATTTTGGTTTTCTTTCTTTCGTTCTTCCTTTCAATGTTTTCTTTCATTTTTCCTTCTTTCTTTTCTTTCATTGTTTCTTTCTTTCTTTTCTTTCACTTTTTCTTTCATTCTTATTTTCCATTCTTTTTTTTTCTTTCTTTTTATGTTCGTTTTTTCCTTCATAAATTTTGGTTTTCTTTTTTTCATTCTTCCTTTCAATGTTTTCTTTCATCCATTCTTTTCTTCTTTCTTTTCTTTCGTTTTTTTTTTCACGTCCTTTCTTTCTCTTTCATTAATTTTTGGTATCTTTGTTTTCTTCCAGTCTTTCTTTCTTTGTTCTTTTTTTCATTTTTTTTCTTTTTTTTACTTATTTCTTTTTTGTCCTTTCTTTTCTTTTTATCTTCTTTTTTTTTGTTCTTTTTCTTTTAAATTTTTTTTATTTTCTTTTTTAATTTTTTTCATTTTTGTTTGATCCCAATATATACTGCTTTTACCCTGAGAGATTCAAAAATTAGATTTTGTAATCAAGTTCACCTCAGAGGACCCTAGAAGAACCATGGATTAATTATCTTTTCTTCCTCAAATTTTTTTTCCTTGCAGAATCTTTTGACAAATGATTTTTTTTAGTACCTTGATTTAAATATTTATTTTTTATTATTTTTTCCTTAACACAATTTTTTTTAGATGAAAAAAAATTATTTTTTTTTATTTTTTTACGAGGGGCTAGATAATCTTTTTTTTTTTTCACAATTTGATCGAACTTTCTTTTTTTTCTTAAAGCTTTTTTAAATTTTGACCTACGTCAATTTGATCAAAATCTAGATTGAATAGAATTTTTTCTTTACAGTTTTTTCAGTTTTTTGCTCGTCTTTAGGAGAGAAGAACAATATTTTTTTTCCTAGCAAGAAGATTAAATTCGTTCTTTGAATTTATGTTGAAACCGCAAAACCTTGAATTGGTTTTCGTTAATTTTTTTTTCAGGACTGAATTTGTTTTTTTTTACGCATGAAAAATTTTTTTAAAAATTCTAATCAAAAAAATTTTTAAATTTAGATTTTTTTTTAATCGCGTTTACCTTAAAGTTTGCGGAAACCCTTTTTTTTCAGCTGTCTAAAGTAAAAAGTTTTAATTTCTTTCTTTTTTAATTATCGAAAAGATCCGCTCAAAATTTTGATAGCTTTTTTTATTTTCTTCGTCCATCTCCTCAATGGAGCAAAGTTCAACTTTTTTAATTTTTTTTTTTTTTAACAAAGAGAATTCAAATTTGAAATATATATATATATATATATATATATATATATATATATATATATATATATATTTTCAAAATATTTTTTTTTTTTGAAAATTGAGCATTTGAAAATACATTATCAACTCTTTTTTTTTTCTTTCCTTTTTCCGTTTCATATAAACCAGAAAGAAAATCGATAAGATTTATAAAACGTTTTTTTTTATTATTAAATAAAAAATTGAGGAAATTTCCTGTTTAAATTCAATGCGGAAAAAAAAAACAAAAATTAATCGAATTTTTTCATATTTTGACATTCCTTTGAAATTTTTCCAAAAATTTTTTTTTTTTTTTTTTTTTTTTACAATTTTTTTTTTTTTTTTTATTGTTAAAACATTGAAAATTAATATTTAATTCTTTTCAAAAATAATTTTTGAAAAAAAAAAAAACATGAAGAAATAAAAAGGAAAAAAAATTCAAAAAAATAATGGACAATTTTTTACACGGAAAGAAAAAGAAAAAAAAAAGAAGAAAAAAAAAAAAAAAAAAAAAATAAATTTATATTGGAATTTAAAAGAAAAGAAAGAAAATAAAGAAACATAAAAAAAGAAAAAAGGAAATTTAGTTGAAAACAGAAAAAAGAAAAAAAAGAAAAAAATTTATTTTATATATTTTTAGAAATAAAAAAAAAAAAAAAAGATTAAAAAAAAAGAAAGAAAAAAAAAAAAGATAAATTTTTTTTTTCAAAAAAGAAAGAAAAAGAAAAAACATGTTTTTTTTTAGAAAGATAAAAGGAATTAGAAAAACTAAAAAGATTTTAGAAAAGAAAGAAAGAAAGAAAAAAAAAAAGATAAAAGGATAAATAAAAGAAAAAAATCTTTTAAAATGAAATGAAATATTTTACATGTTTTTCAAACAATGAAAGAAGAATAAAGGAATGAAGAATTTTTTAAATAGAAATGGAAAAAAGAAAAGCAGGAAGATAAGTTCCATAATGAAATAAAACGGAAAAAAAAGAAAAAAAAATGGCGGAAGGAAAAAAATTGATAAAAAAAGAAAAGTTTGAAAGATGGAAAAAAACAAACAAACAAACATGGTTTTTTTAAAAAAATTTTTATAATTTTTTAAATTGAAAAACAGGAACAATTTTTAAGGAACAATAAAAAAAGAATGTCATAAAGCTAAAAATTGAATCTTTTCTTTTTCTTTAATACAAAAAAAAAAATGAATTTGAACAATGAAATAAAAAAAATTATAAGATTTTAAAAAAAAATCTATTTATCTATCTAAAAAAACAAAAAAATCTCATACAATATATTTATATTTTGTGTGAACTTTTTGTGTGTGTGTGTTTTGTGAAAAATCATAGCAAATGTTGTTTTTGTAAGAAACAAGAAATCTTTTTTATAAAATTCTATTTTTTATATCTGTTTCTCAAATCTATCAAGGTCTGTTATATATTCCTTTTATTTATCTATTTATCTATCATTTATCTATCTATCTCAGTCTCTCAAAAATCTATCTATCTCATTCTCTTCATTATTTTATCTATCTATCTTGTCTGAATCTCAGTCTCTTTTTATATATCTATCTATCTATCTATTTATCTAACTGATCTATTAGACAATGCTTAAATTGGGTAAAGAATGTTTTTGTCTGTTCTCTGATCTCTCTGTTTGTAAAACCTTTTATAAAAAATAATTTCCCTTACATCACATGTTTTCATCCTCCTCCTCCGGTACGTCCATCAATTTGAAAACAAAGAAAAAAAATTTTAAAAAATTTTTCAAAAAATGATAATTACCTCCCCTTTTTTTATTCGTTTTTAAATTTCATATGTTAAAAATTTCGATCAATAATCTCTCTTGTTATTAATACATATATTTTATTTTGCCTCAAGATCTCTCTCTTTACAACAAATATAACTATATATAAAAAATCTCTCTCTCTAAAACTTTGATAAAAAAAAAAAAAAATTCAATCTTTCTCTCTTTTTTTTATTCAAATTTTTTCGCGTTTATTTTTAATTTAGCCGCGAAAATTAAATTGCATAGTATGCAATATGTCAAATCAATAAATAATGTATTTAATAGAAACACATCCTTTTTCTTTTTTTTGACCGGAATGTATTCTTTTTTGAACGGTAGTATGTAATAGGCAAATGAAAAAAAAGAAAAAAGAAAAATTTGGTCTGAACCAGTTGCGTTGTTATTTTACACGGCCGATTTGGCATCCAGTTCGCCTCAATCTTTTCATTGCTAAAATATTTTTACATTTGTTAAATTGCCATACATCTGGTTATCCTACTTAAAAGCGCAATGGATATCAATATCATCTCGCCTTTTGAAGCTAAAAAAAAAAAAAATTTCTTGATATCTAATTTCGATTCTTCTTTTAAATTGGGAGATGAAGTTAAAAAAAAAAATTCGAAAACATAAAAATGTGTTGAAATTTTTTTTTTTCTTTTTCTTTCTTTTTTTCTTTCTTTTTCTCTGTCTGTTTTCTTTCTTCTTTCTTTTTTTCTTTCTGTGTGTCATAAAAAAATTTTTTTTTTTCATTTCTTTCCTTTTTTCTTTCTTTGATTTTTTCTTTCTAAAAAAAAAAGAGAGAAAACAGAAATGTATTTTTATTTGTCTGTCTGTCTTGGTTTCTGTATTTTTTTTTAATTTTCTGTTCAAGGGCTGTCTTTCCTTTCTTTCTTTCTTTCTTTTTTTTTTTTTCTGTCTTTCTTTCTTTTCTTTTATTTTCATGAATTTATTTCTTTCTGTCTGTCTGTCTGTCTGTATTTCTTTTTCTTTCTTTCTTTCCTTCTTTTTTTTTATTTTCTGTAATAAAAAATTTCTTTCTTTCTGTCTGTAATCTGTATTTTTTGAGAACCTTTCCTTTTTCTTTTTTCTTTCTTTTTTTTCTTTCTGTCTGTCTTTCTTTTTTTTTTTTTGTCTTTCCTTTTTTTTTCTTTTCTTTCTTTCTTTCTTTAAATTTCTGTCTGTCTTCTGTCTGTCTGTCTGTGAAAAAATTCTTTCTTTCTTTCTTTTTTTTTTTCTAGGTTTTTTTCTTTTCTTTTTTTCTTTTTTTTTTTTTTCTTTCTTTCTTTCTTTATTTCTTTCTTTTCTTTCTTTCTTTCTTTTGTCTGTCTTTCTTTCTTACAAAATTTTCTTTCTTTCCTCGGTTTTAACTATAAAATTTTTAATTTTTATTCAAAAATAATTGGAAATTTTTTATAATTGATTTTAATCGTCTAGGGATGTCGATCCTCAGCTAAAGTCAGTAAATAACGAAGACATTGTGCGGAGGTTAACGAGCTTGTTTAGAAAATTACGACTGTTTTGTACAAAATTCAGATAGTTATTTTTTTTGAACAAATTAATTCTCAGTAAATAACGAGATCAATCATAAATGGTTAAATTTATGTATAGAAGTCGATCCACAGTTGTGACTTCGTTCCAAGCTAAATTCAATAAATAGCAAGGTCACTGAGCAGAGGTTAACTCGCCAGTCTAGAAAACTATTAGTTATGTGCTGACGTCGATACTCACTAGGTGCCCCATAGCTGTGACTTTGTTTCAATCTAAGCATGGTAAAAATTTTTTGCGGCAATAGAGTTTACAGAGCTCTAAAGGAGGATGTAAAGAATAGGAAGGAAGCCTTTTTTTCACGAAGAAAAAAGATTTTTATTGTTAGAATGAGAAAAATTTTGAGAAAAATTTCTAATTTATAATGATGAAAGAAGGCTTGGAATATTTGAAACTCAAAAAAGTTAGAACAAAAGAAAAGCATGATAACCTACATAATAAAAATTAAAGGATGTCAGAACATGGATATTTTCGGGATATTGAAAAGAAAAAAATTTAGGAAGTTGTGGAGAATGATGAAACCCATGTTCTGAAGGGGCATACTCTTCTCTTTATTAAATCACATTTTTCTTTTTACACTTTTAATATTTTTCCTTAATATTCTGTTTTAAGGATTGATTCGTTTTTACGGTTTATCAACCTTTGTAGGTTATAGAAATAGAAAATATTTTTAGATATAATATTTTTTTAGATTTTTTTTTTTTTTTTAAGCATTTCACCCCAAGCAAGGCGGGAGTGCCACTAGCACGCAAGGGGGTTACAGAGTGAGAGCAAGAGTAAAGAGGAGTGTTTGAGGGAAGATTATAGAGAAGGACGGAGATCAAGGCATCAGAAGATGTCGATTGATATTACATTTGAATAGTTGAAAATTATAGTTATCAGGGAAGCAAGTAAGAGGAAGGGAGTTCCACAGATGGGAAGTGTGCGAGAGAAGAAGCTGTTGGAGTAGAAGAGACGGTTACATTTAACCGTTTTGACAGTGAAAGGGTGGGACCGAGATGCCAACCTAGTAGCACGTTTAAATTCATGCAGTTTGGGAACCAGCGAAAGTAGCTCGTCGGAACAGTTGCCATGAAAATATTTGTAGAAAAGACAGAGGGAAGCCACATCACGTCTGTGGGAAAGTGATTGTAGACGAGATGCCAGATCAGGACCTATCACATTGCATATTCGTCTCTGGATTTTGTCGAGGACCTCGAGATGAACAGGGGGGCACCAGACCATATATGACAGCAATATTCCATGCAAGGACGGATGGTTGATTTATAGATTTGAAGGATGGACTCAGACGAGAAAAACTTTTGGCGCGACACAGAGAACCAACTTTCCTTGCGGTAGATGAAGCTATTGATTCAATGTATTTATTCCACCTCATGTCAGTGAACAGTATGAGATATTCAGCCGTAACGAGGCGCTCTCGAAGTTGGGCATCAGCCATTCTGATGGGAGGCAGGAAGGGTTCTTCTGTGGTGTAAAAAGGAGAGCAGTTTCGTTTTTGGAAATTAAAGTTTACAAGCCATTTTTTTGCCCCAGTTAACCACAGATTGGAGGTCCTTACTAATTAACCCATAGCTAGGGAGAGAAGTGGAGCGATTATGCCTTCCCCAAGGATGTTTGCGCTTAAGTCAACATAACGAACCCAACTGGAGTTGGAAAAAGCTCTCTGATTAACAATTGTTATTTTATCTATCTTTTTCACGCTCAATTTTTTTTTTTATAGAACCTGGTATTCCCAAGCAATCACCCATCTAGTTACTGATCAGACTCGATGTTGCTTAACATCGATGATCGTACGAGAAACGGTGGTTTAACGTGATATGGCTGTCGTCTTTTATTTTTCTTATACTTATTTTCATTTTTCCTTCAATTTTCCTTCCCCTTTAGAATTCTTCAAAAAAAATTTCATTCCTTCATCTTTCTTTCTTTCTTTCTTTCTTTCTCATCTCTATACGATTATATCTCAATTTTTTTCATTCATTCTTAAGATTCTTTCTTCCATTTTCTTTCTAGTTTCTCTCTCTCTCTCTCTTTCTCTCTCTCTCTTTTTATATATAATTATATACGTCAAATCCCTAAATTTCAGATTCCTTTCGACGTTAATCCCTTTTCATATGATTGCCCGATCGGCGATGAAGCAGTAAAAGCCCAGCAGCCATCTTTAAACAGGATTAAACAAAACAAAAAATAAATGAATAAATAACGTTCTTCTTTGGCGGGAAAAAGAAAATTGACAAAGAGAACGATATTTAGTACTGGTCATTGGAAAAAAAAACCACGTTTATCTATTTTCGGCAAATATTTACCACCCAGCATGCTCTGATATTAACACATACGCTCAAAGGAGAGTTTCTTCATGCATGACTACACGCTATTCACACTGAATGCCCTAAATTTATCCTTTAAATATATATATATATATATATATATATATATATATATTTACAAAAGTGAACATTGAAGTCAACACTCAGAGGTGTTTTTTTTTGTTTCATGCTGGAAGCTTTTAAATAATAGTACATGGAACATTTTACATTAAATCAATATTTGCATCTTTTAAAAAGGAATAAATTTGACTTACTGTGTCGTTATCATTTTTTTTTTTCTTCTTTTCAGAGTTCATCTTGCATATCTACAAATCTACCCTTCGTCCGTGCATTGAGTACTGTTGCCATATCTGGTTTGGTGCCTCAGATGTTCATCTCGAGGTTTTTGACAAAATCCAAAGAAAGATCTGCAATATAATCGATCCTGAACTGGCATATCGACTCCAGTCACTTTCTCGCATACATGATATGGCTTCTCCCTGTCTTTTTCTACAATTATTTTCATGGCAACTTTTCAGTCGAGGTTTTTTTTTCACTGGTGATCCGAATACATAAACTTAAGCGTGTTATTCGACTAGCATCTAGCCCCCACCATTTTACCGTTGAAATAGCTAAATATAACCGACACTTCTCCAACAACTGATTTTCTCGCACTTCCAGCCTGTAGAACTCCCTTCCGTTTACTTGCTTCCATGATAACTGCAATCTTTCAAAATTTAAATTCAATGTCAATCGTCATCTTCTGGTGACTTGAACCCCGTTCATCTTTTATCCTTCAATCAATCGCCACTATACACTGTTTTTTTTGAAAACAGAAAAATGTAACCCCCGTGAGGCGTAGAATGTAACTCCTGCCTTGGTGAGGGATGCTTAAAAATATAAAAAAAAAAAAAATCACGTCACACCTTCTTACGTCACAACAATCTGGTTCAACAAATCTCCCCAATGTCTTTACCTACACTGATGATGACTTAAGAAAGACGAAAGCTTGAACCATATTTCTCGTACTTTTCTTCGGAGAATTTCTGAAGGAATTTCTTTCTTGTCAAAGAAGGGTTATTCGTAATTTGGAAAAGTCGAGCATTAAAATTAACGTCTGTTTTGTTTTTGATAATATTAGCCTTAAAGAACATTTCCTGCTTAAATACATAGAATGTGTTTATTTGTAGATTTAAATGTTCTATCCTACGCACATGCGCAGATGGCATTTTTTTTCTTGCGCACGCGCATCTCTACTTTTTGTATTTGGAGAAACGTGATGATATTTCAGCTTGTCTGTTTTTTGTTTTGTTTTTTTCATTCGGAAACAACATCGTTTATTTCTTATTTTCTTTTGCTAGAAAACTTTATAAACAAATCCAACATCAAAACAAATATTAGAGCTGTTATTTTTTGTCCTTTCAACGTTGTAAATGAGGATATGACGTTGTTATCTGCACGCCTTCTTTAGCAACAGCTCATTTCAGTAAAGAAGTATCAAATGTCGTTTCAACGGCAACTCAACATGGACACGTTTTTTTTTTGTTTTTTTTTACAAAGTCAGCTGAGAATGTTTATTTTTCTTTTAACAATTCTTTCTTCAAATATTTATTTTTACTTACATCACAAGCAGAAAAATTCTAAAGATCGTTTCACTAATATAAATATACGTAAATATTTGGATATTTGAATTCTATAACTGTCTCTTGAAACAAATATACATCTCTCGTTACGATTAATATTATTTTGAAACTATCTATCTATCTATCTATCTATCTATCTATCTATCTCAGTCTGTTTACATCTATCTAAAATCTATCTATCTATCTATCTATCTATCTATCTACCAATCTATCTATAAAAGCCTGTTTTACAATTTTCAATTTCTCTCTCTCTCTCTCTCTCTCTCTCTCTCTCTTCATATCTATCTATCTATCTATATCTATATCTATATCTATATATATATATTGTGTATTTAGGCAGCAATCTTTATTTCATTCAAGTTTCATTAGATATATCAGACAAGGCGCTTGTATTATGTTTTTTTATACATAATTTCTCATGTGCTCTTTTTTTTCTTTTCCGTAGATAAATTATATAAAAAAATGTGCAAATGTTGTTTTTTTTCCCAGCGCTTTCGGCTATACATTTAGCCATTTTCAAGGTTGAAATATATTAACTGTTAACAAGAAATAGAATTGTTGTATGTATCTTTGAGATTCGTAAGAATCTTGTTGACAACACAAATATAATAGCATCGTCTACATGCAAAAAAAAAAAAAAATGGCTAAAAATAATGGAAACCTTATTAATAAAAAAAAACAAAAAACAAGACTCAATATTATCGACTATGTACATGGCCGTGTTTTGAAAATGAAAACATGGCCATGTTTTGAAAATAAATACATACAACAATCTATTTCTTATTAACAGTTAGTATAATTCAACCTTGAAAATGGCTAAATGTATAAATTATATAAAAATCTTAATCAAAACACCTTGTCTGGCATATTTAATGAAACTTGCATATATAAAAGTGAGCATTGAAGTCAACACTCAGAGGCCACAGGCTGTTTCATGCTAGACGCCATCGTCAGGCGACCTGATATATATAATTTCTCATGTGCTCTTATTTTTTTTTCCTTTTCCGTAGATAAATTATATAAAAAACTGTGCAAATTTTTTGTTGTTTTTCCCGAGCGCTTTCGGCTATACATTTAGCCATTTTCAAGGTTGAAATATATCGACTTCAATGTTCACTTTTATATTTATATTTACATACGTTCTATCTTTGATATTAATGCACTTTAACCCGTAAATAGAGCACACCTTAAAACTATATTTCTTCATATATATATATATATATATATATATATATATATATATATATATATATATATATATATAATTAATAGTCAATAACAACAAAATTGTCCATCCATCCCACACAGTATTTAATATCTAAAAAACAATCTATTAAATGGAGTTTCTTTTTCCAGGTTTTCAGATAAGACGTTTAGCCA